TTTTTTATTTCTTCTTGTCCTTGAGCTAAATTTTGAAATTCTGTATTGCTAAAAGCCATAAAGTTGTACATTCTTTTGTAAAAATAATCCATTTTTGAAAAAACWTGATCAGCTACAATAATTTGAAAAAGAAGTATCAATAATATTGTTTTAATTAATTATTATGTGAACTAGACATACCAAATTCTGAGATATTAATATTAGCAGTAGTATTCATTGAATTTTGCATATTATGTTGAACATTTTTTTCTTTTAATTTATCCACATCATCTGTAAGTGTAATATTAATTAGTTATTGGGATCGGAAACCAATGTTCTCTATCACACCTGCTACCAACAACATATGATATTAATATGTTTTATTTTCAACTTGGTAGATCCAGTGAAACAATAAAGAACTCTAAAACTCAAAGCCTACACGAGATTGCCTCACATTTTTGATATTGTGATTTAGTCAACAGTTGAAATATAATAATTTTTAATGAAGTTTTTAGTATTTAAGAGGATAAAATTAAAATCAAAAATTTAGAAATAAATTAATCGAAATATGTTTTCAAAAGTCTTATTGATTTACTACAGGTTAATCCAGTATGATGGACATATACGTATATGTACCATATCTATAATGTCATATGTGGCATGTGCGTTAGAAAAAGATGGATTTAAATTCAAATCCCCATAGTATTTAAACTAATTAATACTACAAGGGAATTATAGTCTATAGAAAGTATTAATTAAAAATAATTTTAACAAAAATAAGCTTAYAGCTTGAATTATTTTCTTCTGGAACTATTTTTTCACTAGAATTTGCCAGTAGTTCAGTCGGCAGGCTTACATTAGATTTATATCTAATATTACGTTGATCTATGTTTTCAGAAATGTCAATAGAAGTCGTCGATAGTGGCTTATTCTTGTATTTATCTATTTTAGTTGATTCTTTTATACGATCAAATTTAAAAACAAAATAAAGATATATATTGACTAATGAATGTTTAGGTTTCCCTTGTCGTCAACACAAAGACGAAATAATTACTTACTCCATAAGGTACTATATCAATATGCGTATGCGCCAATTTACTAGGCAGCTAAATCAAAATAATCAAAAAGAAAATCAAAAAAGAAAAAAACTATCAAAATTCTGTACTATATAAAGGTTTTAAGTTTATATGTTAATATTTATACATTGTTGTTAAAGTGTTAAACAACTATACCTATATTAAAGATATTRCTTGTTACTATTTATTATGCATAATTAATAATATTATACTTTGTCATTTGTCTTTTTATTCTCCACTTTCCAGACGTCTAATTCAAATTTCAATTTCAGTAGGTAACACAGGCAACACACAATTAATAAAGTTTTATAAAAATGAAATACAATAGGTACCTATTATATTATTATAATAATAATATAATATGTATAATGGTACTACTATTAATATATGGCCGTGTGTAGGCGATCACAGGGGAATGCTAAGTGGTGCTATCTACATTCATAGTATAGAGTTCTATACTATATAGTATGTCATTAATTTGTAAGTAGATAGCGCCACATAGCATTCCCCCGATCCCGTATACAATAACGGCACACAAAAATCGTCGAGTTGCCGGACCTATCTATATGGCCGTGATCGTTAGTAAGTTAACGAAATACAACTAATCAGCAAACTGCAGTATGACATAAATACAAGTTATACAGGTTAAAAAAAAAGAACAGTTAATAATTGTCAAAACACATCGTGAATAATTGTGACCAGTGGCGCCCAAGATACATTTTTCAGGTGTAGCATGAAATAATTTTACCCACCCACCCCCTCAAAACTCAAAAATTTATTATTTTATACATTATTATATTTTAATTGATATTGATATAATATTAGTAAATAGGTACCAATCAATATGATCTGTGTTTTAATTAAACATTGTTAAAAAAAGGTGTAATAATTTGTAATAACAATTGAAATACTAATATTTCAATGAAACATTCATTCCAATAAGTATCAGGTAGGTATTATAGTTTTTAAATGTATTAAAACCTTTAAAAAAAATATTAAAAAGTATTGCGAAATAGCTTACCTTATTATAATCCTTATTCCTCAATCTCACTGTTGTAATACATTGTGTGGTTGTGGTAACACACTAAGACATATTCTTTTATGTTTAATAACCAGTTTAACTGGTCCAGTTATACCATATAGGTAGCATATGATACTATAATAATAATACTACATGTAAATAATACAGATATGACTATTTTGAGTTTGAATATTTGTTCATTCATGAATTAATTATTAAATTTAAAATGTAAGATTTTTAATTAACGATGAAGATTTTAGGCTAAATTTATCAATTACACACGTGTAATCAATATCAATATCTTGCTCACAATTTATCCTCATCAGTGACTCTAGTCTGTCATTGGACATGGTAGAACGAAGTCTGTTTTTAATAATTTTAAGCTTGGAAAAACTTCTTTCCGTCTCTACACTTCCCACTGGTAATGTTAAAGCAATTTTGTACATGGTAAATAATGTTGGAAACATAATTTTAAGAGAACCATGATTGCAAAATAATCTGAAACAAAAAGTTTATCTTATTTAGGAAATATTCAAGTAATCCTATACATMGCAGTTAATTCAATATTAACCAAATAACAAATTATTCTTGTAAAATATTTCAATTTGGATAAAATAAATTTATATATTTTATATAATATTTATTTTATTATACTATGATTTTTTATGTTTTTTTCTAATGCATCATTATATCTTTATTTTTTTTTTTGAAATGAAATTGTTGTCATTTTCTGAATCCAAATCCTCCTCTTGATTTATATCAGAATCTTCCAAATAAACTGCTTTATCTCTGTCATCATGAAGCATATTTGGCAAACTTTCACGTTTTTCCAATAGTTCAAAATAGTTACAAAATTTTTTATACTCATGTCTAGCATTATCTGGTTGAACAAATTTTGAATACATTTTTCCAAAAACATTAAAAGCATCTACTGGAAATTTTTTAGGATTTTGTTTTACTTCATTCAACCTTTTCTTAGACAGAAGACTAATATCTTTTAATAAACCAAGAGTAGTTTTATCAGGACTTTTTGAGTTGTTTGATGAAGTATTTTTGTTACCAATGAACTTTTCTGACTGAGTTATTATACAGTCCAGAGCTGAAAAGTATGTGTTAACTTTAAAATTTTGTATAGGTTGAATTATCACTTCATCGCTAGCCTTTTCATCAGCCATTTGCTTTCGCTTACGAGATCTTTGTAGAGGTAAAGGTTCAAACTCATAATCACTGTCTATAATGAACTTTTTTGTTTGATCAGTGATTTCATTAAATAATTCATTTGTTCGAAGTTTTTTTAAGGATTCCAAATTGTCTTCTATAAGCATGGTAGCACAGTAAATATCAAAATCTGGACTTTGCAARTGTTGAGATGTTTTATCTAAAATTTTAAATATACTTTCAAAGCTATAAGCTGTTAACAAAAATATTTCAGATGTAAAGTATTTAAGTAAACCACCAGCAGTGATGCCATATCGTCTGTCCCCTGGCCCTTCTGTATCTCTAATAACTTGAAGGGTTTCAATCAAAGCATTAAATGTTTTGAGTACAGTACATAATGCATAGTAATGTGACATCCAACGTGTAGTAGTAACTCTTTTAAATCTTCTAATAGGTAATTTTGGATTAATTTTTTTCATATAAAGAAATTCTTTTTTTGCTTGAACAAACGAAATCAAAAATTTCTTCCAAATTTCCAAATAAATCCATAGCATTGTTACCCGATGAAACAGCATCAATTACTACTAGATTTAATCTATGGGCCCAGCACCATATATACACTGCACATGTATTTTGTCCGTTAATAATTGATTGTAAGCCAGTATACTGCCCACGCATACTTGCTGCTCCATCATAAGCTTGCCCGATTAAATAATTTTTCCAATCCAGATTGTGATCAGTACAAACACTATAAAAAAGTTCAGCTAAATCTACCCCTCGTGTGTTTGAAGATTCTTTTAAAGCAATAAACCGTTCTTTGACAGTATCGTTTTGAACATATCTAATGACAAAGGAMACTTGTTCTTTTCTCGATATGTCAAAAGTACTATCGATTGATATGCTGAAAAACCTAGCACCAACTATTTCTTCATCTATGAATGTTGCTATACATTCAGAAATTGTATCAATTAATAAATTTTGTTTTCTCCAAGAGATAAATGAACATTCACTTTTGTGTGTTTGTGTTTTAATTTCAGTAACATACTGAGCCATAATAGGTGAATATTTAGAAATAAGTATAATAAGATCTTTAAAATTTCCTTTATTTTGTTCACACCACCCTTCACGATGTCCACGAAACGCCAATCCATGTCTACCGAGGTATAACGTAATATCAATTAATTGTTTCACAATTTCACGGTTTTTAAACACTTGTTCTTTTTTACAACATTGCAATGAAGGAATTATTGGTAAAATCGACTGTCTTAATAAACGTTTCATTGAACTTGCTATGTGACTTTCAGTACACTCATGACGTTCAATGCCATTTAATCCTCTAGACCATGCGTTGAAACCATTTTTTGTCCATGCAGTATTCGGTTGGTTATCAGAAGAAGAAAAAAACATACAATCAATACATTAAATACGGTCATTGGTAATGGAATAGCTAAGCCAATTTCTATTTTCTACACTTTTTCCATCTGGAAGAATTTTGTTATACCATTCGGAATGAAATCTTCTACCTTTTTCATTTATTGGAAATTGTTTTTTACTATGAGAGTCAACACTAGGTTGTGATGGACTTATTTCTAATATTTTGTTAATCAATTCATAAGTTAGATTTTTTAGTAAACATAGTTTGGCAGGATCATTGTCCAATGTGTTTATATTAGTATCTGTTTTCTGACCTAAAATATGAAAAAAATTGTTAACCTTTTATTTTGAAATACCTACTCATAATTTGTTTAATGATATGTTTATGATATTTATTTATTTATTAACTTAAACTCACTAGTAATTATCTTTATAAAATTTAATGTCTTAATTGCTTTGCATGTTAAATGATATAGGTATGGCAAATTTAGAAAACAAAATATACCTGAAACTTGTGGAACTGAGTTTAATGAACCTTTAGTGAAGACATTACTAGAGTCTGGTTTACAGTCATCCACATAATCATTTTTCTCATAATCCGTTGGCTTTAACACTTGGTCATTAACTCCAGAATTGGCAGAATCGATCACAGTATCAATTTCTAAATATAAAAATCTTAGTTTAGTTATTGTTGTTACACATAATTTAGGTACATTAATAATAATGTTTAAGCAAATATTAAATATATTAGTAATTAAAAATCTAAATGAACATTAATCAATCATTCATGCTGTAGTCAATTTAAATCTGAAAAATTAAAATACCTGCAACTTGTAGAACTGAGTTAACTGAACCTTCGGAGAAGACATTACTAAAGTCTGGTTTACAGTCATCCACAACATCATTTTTCTCATAATCTGTTGGCTTTAACACTCGGTCATTAACTCCAGAATCGATCACAGTATCAATTTCTAAATATAAAAATCTTAGTTTAGTTATTGTTGTTACACATAATTTAGGTACATTAATAATAATGTTTAAGCAAATATTAAATATATTAGTAATTAAAAATCTAAATGAACATTAATCAATCATTCATGCTGTAGTCAATTTAAATCTGAAAAATTAAATTACCTGCAACTTGTAGAACTGAGTTAACTGAACCTTCGGCGAGAACATTACTAACTTCTGATTTTTCTACATTAAAATTTCATAAATATAAAAATTAGAAGGAACTTTTTATAGTTTTTCAACTTTTTCATTCAAAGTTAGTAATTTATTTAATTAATTTATAAAATGTATACTAATTAATATTTATTTATTTATTTTATTTATAATTGAAAATAACTGATTGAATTGAAGTAACTTACGTTACTAGACACATAATTACCTTGCATAGGTTTTTTGTTACGTCCAATTGTAAAAAAAGAAGTAATATCAGTATTCTTTAATTTAATTTTTGATGTTTGACAGGTATCTAAATGTCGCATCCAGTTAGTATCATTGATAAATTTAGTTTTTAGTAGTGATGTCAAAAATCCGGATTTTTGGATATCCGGATATCCGAATCCAAAATTTAATAACCGAATAATCCGAATAATTCGAATAATTTAAATGTTCATATATCCAATCTAATTATTATAAAGGAAGGTTTTAAAAATATGTTGACGGTTGATGCATTTGGTAGTAGTTATAATAATGTTTTATTTCATATTATAGAATATAGATCATGTCTTAGCAAATATTAAATATTTAAATAATAACAATAATTTTAACATTTATAATAAATAATAATCATAGCAAAATCAACTATAAAAATAATTAATACGTAATAAATACATAATAAATAAGTAATACGWTATACATTATACACATATTAACACAATATAATATTTTTTTTAATAAATAAATTTAACGTACAGGCACATTTAATGCAATTTTAAGTATAAACGGGATACACACTATAATAATGAAAATAGTTGTTTTTATATTTKTCTAGTTTAGAATCAAATATTTTTATTTAAAAATACCAGGGCTGATAAATGTAAGGGAGTCATTCTATTTCTCTTTGGGGATAGAATTGATCCAGCAGTAGAAAAAACACGTTCTGAAGATGCCGAAGAAGCCGGTATACAAAGAATATTTTTCGCGAGAACAGATAAAGAAGGAAACGTAAGTTCACGCGATTTCCACCACAAACACGGATC